ATAATTAGCATAATGATCGAAACAATTGTGAAGATCCAAAAACCCTTCCGGGTTGAAGGCTTCATTAAATAAATGTTGATCTGTAAGACAACCAACATGGAAACAGGTGAGCGCGTAATGGCTGTCACCTTTCTTGGCACAAAACATTGTTAATGTTCCTGAGGCTTTTCCTGTTTCGTTTTCGATTTCGTCTTGGATCTCGTCTCCGTCATCATGTTCCGCCGGTAAAGGGTTTTTTGATTTATTGACAGCAACAATGCCACCTCCAGATGTTGGTTTTGATACATATTTAAACTTTGGTTTTACTTCAGGTTCGCGATAAAGTTCAAAGTATTTTTTTGGATCACAATTGAATTTCTGTTTGATTTCCTTCAACACTTTCGACTTCTTTTTTCCTCTTTTGACTGTCAGATAAAGACGAGGATGTGGAAATTTCTTATCAGGGCCCTTTACACCATACGCTCCTTGCAGCCACGAAAATCTGTCAAAAATTAGAGAAATGTTTGTGAGCTCGTATATCAAGGAGCAATAAATAATTCAGTTGTAGCAGGAAAACAATATACTGCATTCAAAATTATTAAGCTAGCAGAATAATGAAAATAGAATAAAACAAAGGTGTAGTAATCAGTGGCGTAGCCAGCCTGATGATTATTTGTCCCGCTATGCTAATATTTTGGTGTTCACTGACTGTGAAAACAATTTATTTCTAAAGACATGAATAATTATAATAACTCGAAATTTACATAGCGGGACAAAATCGTCAGGCTGGTTACGCCACTGGTAGTAATTTCAACGAAGACTTCTTTGTTGTAAAAGGGCGAAAAACACATATTTTCAGATTGTATGTGGTAGGGGCTAACCATACACATCGCATGCAAGTGCTGGGCATAGGAATGCAATTAAAAGAAACAAAAAAAGGATTCGCAACTAAAGCAAGAATTTATCTTCTAAAGAGTTATAAGACATCATATACCTTTGAAGTTTTTCATGAACGTCTTTTTTAATGTTGTACTCAGAATCAAGGAAAGTTTTTTTGAAGAAATTTGTCTCATTATTTTCTGTTCTCTCTTTCCGTTCTTCATCTTCTAGGAAAACAATGGTTTTTGAAAACAGCTTAACATCATTGACATCTAATAAGACGCCTACTCAACGTTTTTCGATGCATCGCCTACATCAAAATATAATGCAGTTAGGAAGAATATTCCCTCGAAAGCAAATTTCTCATAAGCATAGTTCTTAGTTTATAAAACGCAATCATGTGCGATGACAATTGAATAAAGACAAATCAAATCAAGATATTTACGCTCTAATATACTAAAATGCATAATCGTATATCTACGTTTCCATAGATCGCTCTGAAAATTACAATGACATCCACCATACAATAACAACGATAAATCATTTAAATTGTTGCCTACAAGCTGCATAGAAAAGCGTAGGATACAAGTTCGAGTAAAAACTATAAAATAATGAGATACAGTTCATTAAATCAGGTTTTGTATGGCCTTATACGCACTAAAATCACTTGTATAGGTGCGTTTTTAAACATTTGCCTTTGTTCACGATATCGAAGGTATAATAACATTATATGCAACCATGAATGAATTAAAACTTTATTGTTACTACTGACCGGTATTATTGAGATGCGAGAAAATACTTGACATTGCAGGACTGCGTCTTTGCGACCTTTGATTAGGAGCTAAAGGTCTTGTGCAAAGTTTATTCTTTTAAGTGCCGTTCCTATACTCGTTCCGCATTATGGTATTTGGGCAGAACAATCAGACATCATTACATACGGGTTTCGAAAACTTTACTTTCTCAGCTGATTCTCTACAGGTCGCCCAAATTTTTCATGCTCTATGAGTATTTCTGGGCTTTATTTGTTAAGGTTTAATTCTCCAAAACTTTATAACTGCGTAGAATGGAGTTTTAACCCTATATTTCAACCTTATTATTATTAATAGTTCAACCTTATCATTATTATTATTATAAGTCGGTTTATATAAACGTTCAATAGCTTAAGCTAAATTACAACGTTCTACAATAAGAATTTAAGCTATACTATGTACATCTATAATTACCTATCTAAAAATGAGTTATACAAGTCTATAGCATGGACTATTGGACTATGTCTGCAACGTTCTATCCTACAGAAGTAATTATATAATTTATCTTTGTTAAATCTCGTTTCTTTTTCACTAACGTTTTTCACATGTTTTGGCAACAATTCGTGAAGCCGATGATTCGAGTCAATAAAATCTTTAATCAACAATACACATGCTTTATTTCTACGTTCTTCCAGGGTTTCCAATTTACTCACAATTAATTTGCTGCTATAATTCTTATAACCAGTATGCTCCGGATAAATAATGTTAAGAGCCCTTCTCTGAACTCTCTCTCTATATTATCCCTTTGCATCTTTGTAAGTCCACCACTCCATGTCTGCATACCGTACTCCAGAACAGATCGAATAACTGTACAGTAGAACATCAAAAGATCCTCAATAGGTGCTCCATACCTCCTCAAAATTTTTAAAAAATGTTATCGCTTGGTTGCCTTTTTTACAATATATTCTGTGTTGGTCCTCCATTTGAAATCATCATCAATCCATACTCTAAGCAATTTATAGAAGAGTACTCGAGCTACTTGACAACCGCCAATGTTAATCGGTGGTATATCTGTTTTATTCCTTCTAAAATCAATAATCATTTCCTTACATTTTCCTCCGTTCAACTCCATCATCTCGTCTCTGGTAAATTGAATTACTTTATCCACCCATTCCTGTGAGATTCCAATTGGACTTCCCGATGTATGGGATGATACATCAATCACTTCATACGAGGTGGTGTCATCCATAAACATTGTTACATCTTGTTCCTCAGATGTGTTGGGTTTGGATTTCATCGGGAGATCATTAATTTTCAGGATAAAGGATATTGGCCCTAACTTGCTTCCCTGTGGCACTCCACCGTTGATTCGCTTTAAACTTGATCGTTCCCCCTGAAACGTTGTTATTTGGGATCTTCCTTGGAGATAAGATGCAAGCCAAGCAACTAGTTCAGGTCTAACACCATTATTGAGAAATGACTCGAGCAGTTTACTGTGGTCAATCAAATCAAAAGCCTTGCGAAAGTCAAGGAAGATGATGCGAATAACTTTCTTAGTATTATCCATAGCCATGTGCCATTTGTGTATCAATAACAACAATGCATAAATTGTTGATGACCCAGGGAGCCCACCATACTGGCATCGACTTATTTTTTCTCCAACATCCTCGATGATCCAACTGTTAACGTAAGATTCTTGAATTTTGGATAAAACACTCGTTAAGGCAACTGGTCTCAATTCATCAGCAAAACAACAAGGTTTAGTTTTAGAAATAGCACATACGTTTGATACTTTCCAAATATCAGGAAAAACACGTTCTTTAAATGATTCGTTGAAAATATGAGCTAATGGGCAAGCAAAGTGCTCAGCGAAATACTTGATTATTCTGACATCAGGGTCGTGGGGGCCCGCTGCTTTATTTACGTTAAGATTCCTTAGGTTGGACAACATACTATCAACTGGTATATTAGGTAGAGGGCGATTTCCAATCAAAGTCCACTCATTATTAACTACAAAAAATCCGGTAGTAAGATTCGTAAAAAGTTATTGATATGTTTGGCAGTTTCTTTGGAGTTTAATGGTGCAGCACTTTCCGGATCGGTAAGACTAAATTCTTGCTTCTTTTTGCCCACTATCTTTTTAACGTTTTTCCACCATGCTTTCGGTTCATGAACACGTAGAGTTTCTTTACGGATCTTCGATGTAATTTTATTTCTCATTTCTCTAGATTCTACCATTCTTCCTTGCTGATACAGTTTGTCTCTCTTGATTATCATGCTCTTGGTTCTTTCTGATATAAAGGGTTTATCGTTTTCATGACGTTTGAACGTTTTGATGGGAAAACACTTTGTAATCAATTCATTGGTGATATTTAGAAACGCTTCCAATTTGGAATTTACACTGCACGAGTCGTACACCGAAGACCAACTTTGTCGAGTTATGAGTTCATGAAACAGATGAACACTAGACTTCTGGATTGGGCGACAGGTGACTTTTCTAATTTGATTACCTTTGGGGATATAGTCTTTAGACTTCAATTCAATCATGCAATGATCGGAATTTCTAAGTGGGGCTAAAACAGTTGGCTTCTCATAAGATTGATGTATGTTGGTAAATACAAGGTCTAGTGTTGCATTCCCTCGTGTAGGATCTTTAACTAGTTGTTTTAATTGGCATTGCTTCCTAATTATTCTTTCTTTAAAGCCATTTCCTGTTGGGTTAAAGTCCCCAGAGACGATTATCGCTATACTTGGACTTTCCGAAGTTAGGGTGTCATAGCAATGACAAAAATAGTCATATAATTTGTCAATTTCATCGGAGTTTAACGATGGAGGAAGATATACACATGCTAATGCTATCTTTGACATTGTTTGTGGTAGCCATTTAGGGCGAATTACGATCCATAAACATTCATGATGCACGTTAGAAAGATCATATCGAACTTTTGTTGGGATAGAGTCTTTTATAAAAAAGGCTACGCCGCCACCTCTACCATATCCTCTATCATTCCTAAACACATTGAATTGTGGTAATCCAGGAAGGTGCACAGCTTCATCTGGTACGTCATCAGGGCCGTACGCAGGATTTTTGAGCTGGGGGGGCAGTGAAGTTCCACTCACGACATATTCATAATAATATTTTAGAATTAGAATAACAATAATCGACGTCCGGGAATTTAAAGCATCATCCTGCTGACTAGATTGGTTATTGGTATACAATAGAATATTACGTCATAGAGTTTTAATTAACATATAATCAGTGTATCCCACACAGATTTTTAAATACGGTACCCAAATATAAAGAAGTGCTGTAAAAGCACAGTATTTAGAGTTCATGATTGGGCCAAACAAAATTGTCATTGTACGTCTTGTTGGTGAATCATCATCACGACATTATATGCGCCATTTTGCTTTTCGTGCGTAAACATCGTCTGCGGTTGGAATATTCGAAGAATCTTGATTAATCATAAGCATGGCAAGTCCACTTAAGCGTTCTTCACCCATTGACGCTCGTGTCCATAACTTAAGGCGCCTAAGTGCTGAAAATGACCTTTCACAACACACACTTCCAACAGGAACTGTCAAGAAAATTGTTAGGATCTTACTAATTGCTGGATAGAATGCAGCATCACACTTTGTTATAGCATCACACGCATTCTTTGGTTTCTCTTTCAAAGGAACATCGACGAATTTCTGTTTCCATCGTACAATTTCCGTATCAAAACCACTTAGCTGGGTAAAAGTAAGAAACTTTCCAAAGAACTCTTTTATATCGTCCAATTTTGCAACAGTTAGAGTCTTCAGATAGACTGGTACAAGTGTTTGGGCAGCTAACAATCCCTTGTGCTCAAAAGCAAATCTTGTCTCAATCTCCTCAACAACCCGATCGATGAAGGGATAGTAGACATTAATTCTGTAATAATCTTCACAAGTTTGATTTGCGTTACCAGAATTTGCGCGATGGCGCTGATTTCTTGCAGTACGTGGCTTTGTAATTTCAACTTCAACAGCGTTTCCCACAGTCTGAATTCTTTCCCATACTTTATTCCAAGAATCATCTGCTCGTGCAGTTCTTATACATTCTTTTGCCCTGTTTACTTCTGCGTATGCTTCTCCAAGATTGCATTCTTTTGCTTGCAATATTTTGGTGACTTCTGCTGTAAATCCTAAAATGGATTGTACTACAACGAGAGCCACGATGAATTGAGGAGATTCCATTAAGCGTATATATGCATTAGCGTTGCCCCTTGGTTCCCCATTACTTTGGTCTGCAATCTGTTCGAGTGTTTTAAGTACAGAAGAATATTTAGCTAACAGTGCTGAAAGTGTTTCCACCCTGGAACTCCATCTTGTAGGACAAAGTTTTGGTACAGTTTTTGTCTTTGTTCCTCTTAAAATTGCCTTTTTCGACTTGTTAAAGCCATGATCCTGAATACTGCTTCCATCTTCATCGCTTTTTTGTTCTTCATCGTTGCTACTTTCCTCGTCGTTCACCTGTCCTTGATTTTCCTTATCGTTTTCATCTTCGTCTTCTTTATTCTCATCTTCCTCATCAGCTTCAGTCAATAAAGCTGTTAATTCGTCATCAACCCCAGTTGGCTGCAATCTCTACAAATATATGCTTTCTTTTTGCGCCATCTCCTAAAAAACGTGTAATTTTCCCTACATTGTCGAACAAATCCCGAATGGAATCAATGCCTGTGCAAGCGCCCGCAAGTGCTAGATTCAGCACATGAGAACGGCAATGTACATAAACTGCATTTGGATAGTGATCAGTCACTTTTTTGTGCAGACCATTTTTGCTCCCACTCATCACGGATGCACCATCATATCCTTGTCCAACAAGAGCAGTCAGATCCAGTCCCCATCCTTCCAATGTTGGAATCAAAACATCATAGACGGACTGTGCGTCCATCTTTGTTAACTTGACAAAGCCCAAGAACTCTTCGCATACTTCCAATTTGCTATTTACAAATCGTATACATATACTCATTTGCTCGGTTGAGGAAACATCTGTTGTTTCATCTGCCATTAAACTCCAATACGTCTGTATTTTGGCAATTATTTTCTCTCGAATTATGGACTCGCATATTGAAATGATTTCATTTTGGATGCGAGGAGATGTAAATTTTGCATTCCTTGGAGAATATTGCAAATGATCTTTCAAAGTTTTGTCAAATTCTGATTTCCAGTTCAGAAAAAAAATCAAATTGCCATTTTCCTCACCCCTTTTCTTAATCCAATTTCCTCTTAAGGCTATTCCTCGCATTCCCAATCTGATAATTGTGTCAATAATAGATAATAACCCCATTTTTGAGCGAACTTGTTGCTCAGATATTTGTTTAGAAAGTTTTGCTGCAATATCTGTTCCAGGTTGACGGGTGCTTAGAAAATAGTAGACCATTTCTTCTGCAGCTTTATGGGCTTCACTTAACATGTGATTATTGATGTAGCTATTTTTCCCGGTCGCTTTCTTCCAATTTCCAAATCCACATGACACAAATGGAGAGACATGTAAAGTAGATGAACTTCTTGAAAAGTTATTTTCTCTCCCCCAAAGCAAATACAGTATGCGCAGAATGCTTTGTCCTTTACAATGCTATACCGTAACCACGGTCTGTCTTGTAACCAAGACGAGTTAAACCTCCTACCTGCTGTAACAGGATACTGAAAACATTCGGGCAAAAGGAACTTGGATGTCAAAAAAGATAGTTTATCGTCATCAGAAAGCTTTTTTGAAATATAAAAGGAAGGGTCATTGATATCATGAACAACCGATGTTGCAGTTTGTTTTTGTTCCTTAGTAGAACACAAAGGCAGACTGATATCATTATCAGGTGTTGGCCTGGAAATTTCCGCTTCGAAACTAGAACAAAATCAACAAATAATATTTGCAAAATCATAACAAAATTAGGGTCTCATTTTTGCTAAATAATCATTATTTAGCATAGAAAAATATTAGTGCACGAAAAAAAAACAATGATTCGTACCTGTTTAAGTTTATAGCAGTGACTGGTTGAAATTGAAGAGTTGTTTGACGTAGTTTTTTAGCACTTGGTTCCATAATTCATAAGTTTATAAGTATATGAATAATTCAAAATGGCGGTCTTTGTGTTTACCGATTACAGCCTGGTACCTAGTTATGGACAGTTATGGACAGTGGTGGACATTCCACTGAACTCAATATATATATATCGAATATTTTTTGAATTGAGCCTTGTTTCCTAACGTTTGCGTGAATGCAATTACAAAATCTACTACATTTTAGAAATTGCAAGTTGGCTTTCCCATAAGGGGGGCAGCTGCCCCCCCTGCCCCCCCGCTGCGTACGGCCCTGTACGTCATTGGATAACCACGTTTCTGAAATGATCACAATGTCAGTTTTTCTATGGTCGATAACATGCGAAAGTTCATCAGTTTTCTTCAAAATTGATCGAGCATTTTGACTCAAAATATTAGGTAAATTACGATTGGGTTTAAAGTTCTCGATCGTGCGTATTTTAACCAAATTTGAAGTATTTCTTGAATTGTTGGCATTCGAAGTATTTTTTTGTATTACATCGGGTAGTAATTCGGACAGGAATCTTGCTAATAATTTTATCATGACAATCAGATGCGTTCTGGGAGTTTAGACAAGAGTTCCCACCGGTGGTTGTAGGGAGAGATGGTATCTCGGTTGGTGTGGCCATAAAGGTATTAAATTTTGTTTCCATGGTTTCCGAGCTCTCTTTTGGGGTCGGTCGTCGAGTAAAAAATGACCATCATGTATTTGATCGGTGTTCTTCTTCGTGTAGAATCCTCTTTTTGGTGAAAAGGGCATATTGTGTTTACGAGTTTGAACTTTTTTAGGGTGCTTGAAATCACAACGATTACCTTTTAGACACCGACCGCGACGTTTGAGGAATGGGCAGAAACTGTTGGCTTTTAAAGGGAAATCATATCCGCCATTCTTCATCTCTGTAGTTCTCTGTGGTGGGCCTGTAGTGGCGATCTGCTTAGGTTGCTGTTGGTCCTTAGTTAGCAGGTGATATTTATTTTGCTGCTTGCTTCGATAGTCGTTAATTTGTTTATCGATATCTTCTACCATCATCACTCCAGCTTCGTCATTCTCTGTTTCTATATTAATTGTCCGTTCGTATTGGGTTTGCAGTTTGCTCCTCTAATTCTAAATTATATTTAGTGTATTGCTTAGTACGGTAATCATGAATTTGTTTATCAGTCTGATCTACCAACCCAATTCCGGCTTCTGTATCATTACGTGATTCACTTGTTAAATCAACACTATGAGGTGTGTTTTCAATACTGTCCTGTCCATGCTTTGATTTAGTAAGTTCAGTGGAGCGTGTCGTGGCATTGTATAGAGATTTGATTATGCAAATTTCTTCGCGAAGGTGTTTGATTTCAAGTTCTAATTTCGCATTTTTCAGCTTTTCTTCCTCGAAATCAAGTTGTAATAGCTTCATTTCGTTACTTAAATGCGATACTGTAAAGGACAGGGATTCCTCTTGAAGGGAATCTTGTAATGAATGCATTGCATCGAGTCAACTTTTAATTATTTCCATCTGAAGCATAACGTTATCTGTATTGTCGTCGACTACAGCGACTACAGCGCGTTTCGTGCGACTTTGTATGGTCTTCATATACACTTTGAGGAGAAACATTTTGATCGATTAAATATTTCTTGGCTAATATACCCTGGGTTCCTTACAAGGTTATGGTATTTAGTTTCCCCGGGTACCATATCACCACGAGGTTTGAAGTAGAGGCGTCGAACCTTTTTGCATTGCCTCCAGAAGGCCGCCATTTCCCTTGTTGACAAAAAACCGTATCAACAAATTCTTGCAAGGATTCGTAATCGTCGCACCATTTGATTCGCTCTCCATCATAAATAACTCGTTTGGATTTGATGTAGACATTTATCTTATTAAAATCGCAGTCATTACGAATATTACCTCTGTTTAGATCAGAGCTACGTTCAAGCTGACCGCCCGCCCGCCATGTTGTATATCCATTTCATGACGTTTGAACGTTCAAACGTCATGAAAACGATAGTAATGTTGTTATGAAGAACTCATTCAAAGCAAATTAGAATAAAATTGGCATGTTAGTAACACTGACCTATACTAGATATCTATATGTAGTATAGGTCAGTGGTTATAAAAATCAACATCAAGAAATTACCTTTATCTTTACCACCAAGTTTCAATAAATATTCAACAATCTGGGATGAAAGACACTCTTCAGCATAGTTCAAAAGTGTTCTACCGTTATCATCTTTCCAATTGACATCAACCCCATGTTTTTCCACTAAATATTTGAGAATGTCTAATGAATCATATTCTGCAGCATAGTAGAGAAGTGGTTTCCCGTTACAGTCTTTCCAATTCGCATCAAGACCTTGTTCCATTAAATATTTAACAGTATTTAACGACCGATATTTTACAGCATAATAAGAAAGTGGATTTCCATTATGATCAGCCCAATTTACATCACCACCTTGTTCCACTAAATATTTGAAAATATCTGGTGAGTCGTATTGTACAGCATAGAAGAGAAGGGGTCTGTCGTTTGTGTCTTTCCAAGCGACGTCAGCACCATGTTCCACTAAATATTTGACAATTTCCAATGAGTAAGATTGTATAGCATGGCTGAGAGGTGTCAAGCCAAAATTATCTTTCCAATTAACATCAGCACCGTGTTCTACTAAATATTTTGTGACCTCTACAACACCAGATCTTGCAGCAACAAAGAGCACAGTTTTACCGAAATTATTAGTACTGTTTACATCAGCTCCATTTTCGATTAAATCTTTTAAACTTTCAAAGTTGATGCAGGAATTTGTTAAGACATCCCAAAGACCAATTCTCTTTTTCGCCCCACACGTTTCTTCTTTGTTCTCTTGATCCGTTTTATCTTCTTTCATTCTATGAAACGTGTATAATAGGAATTTTTTTAGGAATTCACATGTTAAACATATTCGTGAAAATTGTTCTATTCATATATATATATATATATATATATATATATATATATATATATATATATATATATATATATATATATATATATACATATATATATATATATATATATATATATATATATATATATATATATATATATATATATATATATATATAATCACAATATACAATCACAATATACAATCACAATACTATTTCAAAAGAGACTTCAACTTCTGCGGACATAAAAATTTTATTAGAATAATTAAAAACGTTTCGCTATTTACAGCTTCATCAGTTTATTAAAAGTTCAAGCCATACACCGTTCTCTTTTATATTGCAGTCCATCTCATTACAAATGCTATATATCAATAAACCTGCCAATACAACCATTCATTAAACTATGCTTACTATTTTTAATTTCAAAAGCTTCTAAAATTTTGCGTTCATTATAATATTGGATATTGTAATGTAGTATTCTCCAGGTGATGGGTGAACCCTCCCTGGAATCATTATTATGTGTTTGTAAATGCGTATAATACCGTTTGCTTTTTCATAGTTAGATGTTTCTTAATCCTGGTCCCTACGCATAGCTCAGCCAGTTTCCCCTATATACAGCGTGACAGTATAAACAAGAAATCTTATATATAACGCTTTAGGCCGAACAACAATCTTGTTTGGTCCCCATCTTACAAGTTTCGAAATCCTTTTTACAAAGCAATTTGTCTCTACGTGTGGGTAAGGCTTTCGACAATGAAGGGCCATTAATAAAACATGTTCTAATGTCTTTTATTCCCGACTGTCTAATCAGTGCTAAAGCTCTCCGTTTTAATTCCTCATCGATGTACGTAACTCTCTCTCTCTCTCTCTCTCTCTCTTGTATGTGTTAATTTGTGTGGCAAAGATTGATATACGCTGAGAAGGCGGACATTCCCTACCAAAGGAATGCCTTACTATGCATGAATTAATATGCGACAAAGCTATACCCATGCGTATGCAATAAAACATGCATACAATCCAGTAATTATCTCAGCACTACATAAAAGCGAGCAAACCATGTTTTGTTTTCTGTTTTACATATTATTGTTCAAATTCGTCCAAAATATTGTTAAATACGCCTTAATATCACCCGACGCGCTAAGGCATTAAGTAATACGAGCCGAATTTATCGAAAAGTTGTTAACACAGCCTGAACCAGAACCTGGACCTCGTCTGGTATCAAGGCACTGCATTATCATAACGCTGGTCTTTTTCCTAGTTTTATTTGTAAGTAGGCCGGTGGCTCGGTGCATGATGGGGTTTTTAATTTTGTTTAGCACAAAACGTGAAGACGAATAAATATTATCTATCTCTTGAACTTTTGCCGGGCGTTTGGGTAGATTTACAACAAAAATGTTCTGTCAACCAAACCCTGGCGAATTCTGCATTTTAAAAATAGAATTCTATAGAATTTATAAATCATATCAATTATCGC